TAATAATAATATTATGTACTTTCTCCGCTCCCTGGGGGAGCATTCCAGCAAGAGCTTCTAAGCTCAAATTGCTAAGCATACTACATTGGCTTTCGTATCCTACCGGCTACCCATTTAACACCTGGGTGGAGAGTGGCAAATGTAGATCAATGTCTTGCCAAAGGACATTAGTGCCGTGGCGGGACTCGACCGCGGACCTTGTTATCGACAGCCCGGTGACGTATCCACTCGACCACGACACCTCATGAAAGAGGTAAACATCCTTTCTTTTTTTCTTTTCCATCTCCCTCGCCCTCCCTTACGTCATACATATTTACATTTTACATTTCTCTTCCTCCTAGCTTTTTAGCATAATTTCTAAAGTGTATGTTCAGATTCCATGAAACTTGTACCCATGAGTTATCAAGTATCACAAATCATATGACACAAATTCCAGGTCACGAAGTCTAGGTCCAAGGTCATTTTTAGGTCAGTAGACTTGGATTATGTTTTTCACAACTTTAAGGGATAGTTGAGTTCTGTTGCAGAGGGCGCTACACAAAATGATTTTTTTGTCAGATAATGAAAAACTGAGTGTCAAATTTGAAAATACATATCATTTTAAATGACAAAATCATCTTTGTTTGATCAAAACCGGTTCAGAGACGGCTGAAATATAACGATTTCTAATAGTAATACTTGTGTACCACCACAAATATTAGATATTTTGAAAAATTTGAAAAACCCGTTGAAAAAACGAAATAACGCCTTTTACATCGTATTTTAGCCAATGCCAATGTTGGCTTTTTTGTTGGCATTTTTATTTTAAATTAAATTATTAATTAACGGTCACCATGTTTTTTTTAAATTGGAGCTGAATTGGTATGATCGTATTGGCTAAATTTCACACATTTTGGGGTCTAAAATTACCTTCATAGCACTTTTAGGTTCTAAAAGGGCACTATAAATGTCATCGATAAGAATAAGAGCAATAACCATGCACTTTGAAGGCAGTTGCGGTCTGAAAACAGAACACAACTATCCCTTTAATATGAGTATTAATAAATCAATTATTGTGATTTGTTCATATTTCATGAAAGTTATCAATCTTGGTAATAATAGTAAATAATTCTTTTGATGATTCTTAGTCAATATTCACTTTAAAATGCTGATTATATTTTAGAGGATCCCATTTTTTTTAATTTTTTTTTTTTTGGGGGGGGGGAGGGGCCTGCTTACAGAGGCGGTCACCTTCAAAGGGAAATCCTCAAAGCGAAAATATACAATTTTTTTAGATATTAGTATATACCCCTATATTGTGATTACATTATCAGTGATGATTTCGATATTTGTTTCTCTTCTTACATCATATAAGATATTGCTTAAGCATCATACTTTGCAGTTGGGTATGATGGTCTGCAAATTCATTTTGCGAGCGAGCAAAATTTATAGGATTTGTGAGGTCGCAGTGCGAAAAATAACATCTTATAAATAGGAAAAAGCCAATCCTGATGGAGTTATAAGCAGATTCTCAAAACGGAAGACTAAAAAGACCTTTGATAAGTTACAAAATTATAACATCCAGGCTATAACTACGAACGAGCGTAGCGAGCGAGATTTGGGGGAGGGGAAGTTGCTCTTAGTCGCTTGAAATTATGGGCACGTTAAATGATGAGAGGAAAGGGGACACTTTTCGAAAGGGTTAAGACACTTATTAGAAAAGAAAAGGAGCACCTGTCAAAGTACAAAGGCTAATTATCAGAGGTAAACATGGGGCAATCCTTACACCTAAAGAAGAGGCACGCACCAGGAATGAAAAGGGATTTTATAAGAATGGGAAATGGGCATTTGTCGTCGGAAAAGAGGCCCCCATCATATTTATATCTATATATTTGATAGTGGCATTTAAAAAAAAATGAAAGGAGGCATTTATGAAAAATGGATAGGTTCCTTATTCGAAAGGAAAAAGGGGCACATATCATGTTTAAATGGGTAATTATCAGAGGTGAAAAGGGGCACTTATGAAAATGAAAAAGGGGCACAAATGATAAAGGGAAATGACCATTTGTTGAAAGAAAAAGGGCATCCCTCATATTTCAATAGGGGCATTTATCGTAGGTGAAAGGGGGCTTTTATAAGAAGGGGGAAGTGGCTATTATTACAAAGAAAAAGCGGCAAATGTTAAAATAAACGGGGCACTAATCAAAGATGAAAAGTGTTAATTTTGAGAAGGGGAAGAGGCACTTATAAGAAGGAAAAAGAGCATTGAGTAGGAAGGACAAGGGGGACGTGTCAAAATAGAAGGGGCATTTATATAAGATGAAAATAGCACTTATCAGGATGGGAAGGGGCACTTGTCAACGTAAAACGAGTATCTCTCAGAATTGAATAGGGTCATTTACAAGAGATGAAAAGGGGCACTTATGAGAATGAAAAGGAACTATTTTCATAGATGAAAAGGGGTACTTTATATGAGAAGGGAAAGGGGCTCTTTTTAAAATTGGGGCAAATATAATAAGGAAAAGGGGCACTTATTAAAAAAGGAAAGGGGGCATATGTGACAATATAAGGTGCGCTTATTCGAGTTAAAAAGGGGGTAGTTGTTAAAAGGGAAAGAGGCACTTTTTACAAAGCAAAGGGGGAGCTTGTCAAAGCAAAAGGGGAACCTCTCAGATTTGAATAGGGCAATTATCAGAGGTGAAGAGGGCGCTTATCAAAAGTGAAAAGGGGCGCTTCTTGTAGATGAAAGGGGAACTTACTAGAAATTAAAAAAAGGCACTTATGAGAATGGAAAATGGACACTTATTGCAAAGGAAAATGGGAACTTGTCTAAGGAAAAGGGGTACGTGTCAAAATAAAAAGGGCATTTATCAGAGGGGCACTTTTAACAATTAATAGGGGCAATTGTTACAGTTAAAGGGACACTTTTCCTATGTAAAAAGGAAAAAGGGGCACTTTTGGGGTACTTGAAAAAGTGGGAGGGGGCACTATGCCCCCCCCCCCCTTCCTCTCTGCCCCCCCCCCCCCGGAGCGCTGCCTCTGCCTGCTAATGGGCCACCCTTCCTATACAAAATGACCAACCTCATTTTTCATCATATCGAATTGCGTAGTATTAATACAGGCGAGACCGCCAAGAGCGTTTCCCTTGTTTATTTGTTTCCACAGTTTTACTCTTTGTACTGCTTGATTGCAAGTAAAAAGTTAAGCACAACATAAGGAAGAAACAGACAAAATTTATCAGTTTGTGCATTTATTGTACAGTATTTATTTACTCTCTCTCTCTCATATCAATCAAATGATATCACATTCTACTGAATGTATACATACATTTATGATTGACAATATCTAATAGATATGAGTTTCTCCTTTGTGTCAAACTCTGCTAGCACCACTACCATTAATTTTTGTTTTCCATCAATATTATTCATGATGTCAGCACTCCCGTGTAGAGTATGGAATTTGTGGTTATATTATCAATGCCCAAATAGGCATTTGACAAATTGGGAATTAGATTAGACTATACCATTAGCGTAAGTGGTCGTTAGGCCAAGAGATAAGTACAAGAAATGATTAATTAACCATATGGATAGTATACGAACTGGTTGTAGACCAAAATTCTTTAATATCTGCAATCGTTTTTATAAACTCATTCCTTCGAGAACTGCATATACTAACACATGTTGCCTTTATTGGGAAAAGAATCTTAATGTAGATATTGATTGGTCTACTGTATTCAAGCGTAATCTTTAACACATTAGAGAAAACAAATTACGAGAGTTTAACTTGAAATTGCTGTATAATCTATTGTGAGTAAAAAGTAATCTTTTCAAATGGGGAATATCTAATGACGATGTATGCCCAAAATGTAATATGAAAGAGGATATAAATCACGCATTTATCGAATGCAAACTGAACAAGCCCTTTATTAAACATCTGAAAGAAATATTACGAGATATATACCAAGTAAAGATATTGTCGTTCAGTATCCGACACTTGCTCAAAATAGATTGTGAAAATCATTGCACTTTATTCCTTACTATAGCTTTTTGGACCATTTATAAATCGATTGTCGATCGGAATATGACTGGAATAGACAAAAGAAACGTTGCTTCCAAACAACTTTTCCAAAGAGAAATTATAAAAAGATTGGAAAGTCAGTCAAATAAAAATATGACCAGAAAGCACATGTTTTTTCCAAAAGAGCTGTTATATGTCATTTTAAAAAAAAATTAAAGGGAAGAAAAAAAAGGGGGGAACTATCAGTATAATTCTTATATTAATGATGATTCAAATGCCTTGCAAAGCAAAACTTAATTTAAATTTTGTTTAAGTCCAAATAGTGATGCTTTTGTGATTACGTAAGTTTGGATTGTATTATTGTATCTTTGGATGTAAACCCTGTATATCTAATAAATTCTCTGATGAGGCAAAGAAAAACAAAAAAACGTTGATATCTGTGTTCAAGATTTACACTATGTATATACAATTTCCATGCACGGAATCGTTCAATCTGATGACCCTATTTGGTTTCAAGCATCCAGTCCTGCGTAAATCCCATTGCTCTTGATTTGTATTGACAGTCAAATGACAAGAGAGGTAAAATGTATTCATTGCTTGAAAGTCACGTTGACAATTCATAGCCAGCAGCATCTTAAAGGCAATGTTAAATCTGAGATGCACTGCCCTACCTATTATCAATGTCTGTGATATGGTGTAATATTGAAGCCCTAAAAAATTGCGCTTCAAAATGGTCACGAAATGCCTCAAAAAAGTAAAAATCTTTGGGTGACCGGTTTTTACCACACTCGTTTCTTCTTCTTCTTCCAGTATAGTACAGTCCGCCGTTGGCGTATTATCGTACCTTGTGCTATCGTACTAAAGTGTTATGAAAACCGTTGGGAAAACGCAAAATTTGGTTTCAATTTCCAATCATAAATATCTTGATAATCAGACAGGCGATCGGCTTGTAAAAGTCATGGGGTTCCTGACTGACCTAAAGGTTAATAATTATCATTGCAGCATGAGCAAAATCCAGGATTTTGTTTCAGAATCTGAGACAAAGTTACCGGATCCCTTTAAATGGATCCAATCAGGGAGCTCCAAGCCTTTGGTCTCCTGCAGGTCAACATGCAGTGAATGTTACAACAAGGTCATGTGAAGTATCTCCCACACCATCCTCCTAAAATAGGGCATGCTGTGCTGTCAGGAGGTAAACAGAAACAATGATAAGTTACGAACAAATACTTATGGAATGAAAATAAGAATATTGCTTCACTATAGGCACATCTTTTTCACTGTATTTTAGTGTCTCTCTCATTATTATGTCTAGGAATTGTATTGGGAGCAGCATGGTAAAAGGTTCATTCACACATTCGACTGCAATGTACAGATTTTGAATTATTCATATGTCCTCGGGCAAGCCATTTTGTTCACAACGCGGGTTTAGTAAATAATTACTGTACAAGCTGTGAGTTATTCCTTGTATACACTATCCCCTGATAGTGGCAGCAGGAGCCAATGACAGGGTAGCGATCCCCAATCGCTCATATAGATTGTATCGATTTATGACAGTGGATTCTTATATGGTGCTTGTAACTGTCATTCTTGCCATTCTAGGGGATCCCGTACCCATTGGCTTAGCATGGCTGCTAGATGTTTTTTGTGTTTTTCAAGAATTGTAAATCAAGAATGGAAGGTGGACTGGTTAAAATGTGGCATCTATTGAATACTTCTAAAATAAGCTTTATTATTAAATATTCCAAGAAAAAATAAATTGGGACAAATCGATTTTTCATATACTTACAAAATTACAAATCATGGTAAAGGTATAATAATAATAATAATAATAGTGTAAACTTATAGAGCGCACACACCGTCCAGGGACGCTCATGGCGATAGCTCAGCAACAGTTCTCTTTGATACAAGTAAAGTAAATAATTTTGCAATATTTTTTGCGATATTTTGTTATAACCCATTTCAATCCTCAGCTCTGCCCGATGGGGCCTGGTGCCCTCCAGCTGCTCCGTTCACTGACAATTTAAGGGACTAGCCCAGTCAGCACATTATTCACAGAAGCTCTAGCATCTGAGGCCAACAGGCCCCACACAGGCAGCCAATGAGACTAAAGGGTGATAACTAATTAATTTCAAATGTATATACAAATGACATATCAATTATGGATTTAGTAAAATAAACTTATACAACTTAAGGAAATACTGGGTTACAGATGGAATAGGTAAGTCTTAAGACGAGTTTTAAAGGCAGAGTATGTTGCAATACAGCGAAGTGATGAGGGAAGCTTATTCCATAATTTGGCTGCTGCATGCGAAAAAGCATGGTCTCCCCATGAATGACGGGTACGGGGAATTTGCAGCAAATTATCACTTCCAGATCTTAAGGTACGAGTTGGATTGTAGGAGTGTAGTGAGTCTTTAATGTATTGTGGCGAGATTCCATGGAGAGCCCGATAAACAAGTAACATAATTTTGAAGTGGACCCTTTTCTGGACAGGTAGCCAGTGAAGAGAGCGTAATATAGGCGTAATAGAAGACATTCTTGGTGTGAAAGTAAGGAGTCTTGCACTGGAATTTTGGAGGGATTGCAGTCTGTCTTGCTGCTGTTTTGTGAGTCCAAATAGAATAGAATTACAAAAATCTAAGCGGGATGAGATTAATGCATGGATTAATTGTTAGCATGCTTTTTGAGTCAGAGATTTTCGTATGAACCCAAGGTTCCGCAGTTGATATCTTACAGACTTTGATATGCTAGATACATGTTCAATAAATGACATATTATTGTCAAATATCACACCGAGGTTACGGACCTTTGAGGCTGGCTTTAGAACTTTGTCACCTAGATGCAAGCTTAAATGAGTATGATTTGCTCTCAGTAAAGAGTTCTTAGAGCCCAAAATGATAAACTCAGTTTTATTTTCATTTATTTTAAGACCGTTGGAATCCATCAAGCCTTTCATGTCATGAATACAGGCTTCTAAAGTTCTCTTAGCATCGGCAATTGCATCTGAGGAAGGATGTACAGAAATGAAAAGCTGAATGTCATCAGCGTAACAATGATATTTTATATTATGCTTTCTAATTATTGTACTGATTGGCTCAAGGTAAACAGAAAACATTAACGGGCCACCAACAGACCCTTGTGGCACACCGTATGAAAGATAAGTTTTGTCAGATTGGGAGTTATTTACAGAGACATACTGGGTTCTTTTATGAATGTATGATGAAAACACTGCAACGCAGTGCCTGTTACCCCAAGAGACTGTAGTCTCTTAACAAGTATTGTGTGGTCAATGAATAATTTAGTTGTTAACTGTATTGCTCAAGCATTCAAGGAACTCCTTCCTGCCACAAACTCATTTTCTACACTTCATTCTTACTGGTAAATTAGAATTAATGACTTGCCAAAGAAGCCTGGCGCCAAGATGGGATTTGAAACCTACCACTTTGAGTGAAAATGTAATGAATAAACTGTCACATCCTGACGCTCTATGAGCTAATTCAGCACAGATCATTATCACTGTTATTACATCATCATAATATCTTACTTGTGTAAACAAGAGGGGGGCATCCCTTGAAATAAATTCTGCCGTTTTGAGGCAGAATACTCCACAATCTGCTGAATTATACTGCTGGGGATTGTCTTTCCCAGATGAATATGTCCAGCCATCCTCCTTAAAAATTTCCTTCCTCTTGTCAAGGCTTTCTTCTTTAAGATAATCTCTGTAATTGAAATTAGAAATAGTACGGAATTATATATAATGGAAGTCTATTTTACAGTAAATACTATAGATATATTGACTGCTAAGAGAGAGGCCTAGCTGTTTGTACAGGCTCAAGGGGACGTTACATCCTACTATGACCCCGAGCCTGGGCGGGCGGGCGGCAGCGCCCCGAGGGTTCATATTAGGATATGTAACGTCCCCGAGAGCCAATATAGAAACAGATAGTCCTCGAATATTAAAGCAGTCCATATCTTTTATAAATCTACCACGAATTCTTACCTTATCCTTTTCTTGAGTAAAGATTGGTTAAAATATCAGAGAAAATTTGAGACACTGTCTGTTAATCTTCGCTGGAAAGTTGACTGAATGTTACAATCATTTGAGAATCGCACACACACTGCACTGCATGGTATCCCCCCTCGCGCAAAGATTTTTTTTACACGTAAACCAATGGGGTTTAACTTCAGCAGAATTTTGTACATGTATGTGGCCCGCTAAACCCGGGGCAACGGGCATCTTTCTAAAAAAACTATTGACCGTTAGGCGGGCATGGCTAAAATTACGACTCCAATTTCGACCAATCAAATGGCTAGATTTCTAAAGAGAGATATATGATTACTATTGTCCGTTATCGTAAGATTGCATATGAAAAACTTGGGCGCATCTGCTCTGCGCCATGTCGCTTATCCTGTTAAAGAGAAGGTTGAGTTCTGGGAAGAGGTGAAAAATAATTTGTGAGCGTAATAATTCTTATTATGCAAGTGTGGAAGATCATCAGATAAGACATGTTCCCTGAAAAACATGGCTCTTCAAATGCCTTTATATTCGAAATATTTCAGTAACATCGTAAAACTCGGGGGGTAGGATTTTTACACCACGTGTTCGTGTAGTCCCATATACATCTTTCTGTGTACAGTGTTTGTAACTTTACCAAGACTTGGCCAAATTTCTTATCATTTTGATGATTCTAGAACCTTGCAATACACACAAATTCTTATATGCTAGATGATCAACCTTTTTAGTCAATTCCACACTGTTTCTTTCACAATGCAATCGCATGACCAGAACTCAACTTCATCTTTAAGCACGGGGAACGTACACCAAAAACACCATGTTTTTATAGAATTGCTGGTATTATGGGAAAATGGAAATTTGTTTTTTTTAAATCTTTGGACGGTTTTTATTAGGCCTATTTGAAATTTCGTCTTAAAAATGAAACTAAATGATACTGGTAGCCATTTCCCTAAAAGTTTTGATTTCGTTTTTCAGCCTGCCTATACGGGGATTGCACTGTTTCCCCCCCCCCCCCCCCTCCTTTTTTTGTCCGTTTTCGCACAGTCAACCAGTCGGCAAATCTCACACGAGTGACGTATACAAAATCTTCGGACGGATTCAGAAACCTTGACGTCCCACATTTACGTTGATTAACGATTGTTTTCATTCGTGGAGAGGAAACGGTAGCACTTTCTCAACCAATAAAAAGTAGCTTTTCATAATAAATCAAGGTGGCTGGGATAATGTAGCGCTAGCTACGCTCGAGGAGTGCGCCCGAACAAAAACAAAAAAACAGTCATAGCTACACGTGAAAGTTCACCTTCTATAGACACAACACGCAAATTATGAAATTTCTGACACAAGGCGTTTTATCGAGAATCACTATGATGACGTCATCAAAATGTAAAATAATGTGTACTGATCTTGGAGAAGATATTCTTATTCAGATATTCAGAATATTTGTAATGGCCAAATGAGACATGAAATCATATCTCCGACTCATATTCTATCAAAATAAGAAGGAAAAAATTGGGGTTCCAGGTGCATCCCAAAGAGCTATAATGGATCTTGTATGAGCATGTTTTTGCCCACATATGCTTTGTATTATATAAGCTCGCGCGCACGGACATTTATATTAAACGGACGCTCATGCCGCTGTTAATAGACATAACGCGCAAATTATGAAATTCTGACATGAGGCCTTTAATCGAAATTTTCACTATGATGACGTCATCAAAATGAAAAATGGTGACCATTTAGCTTGTAGAGAATTGTTCTAGCTACAACGTATCAAAATTTGTAAGAAAATCGATCAATATTTACAGAGATACAATCAATTTTCCATAAATATGCTGACGTCATGATATGCAAATTCGTAATTTGAGTTTGAAGGCCAATTAATTTGCCCACAATATGTGTTATATAAGCTCGCGCGCACGGACATTTATGTTAAACGGACGCTAATTCCGTTATTAATTGTGAAAAAGAGATAAACATGGAATCAATTTGTTTGTAAAAAAATGTGGAATATCATGAAAGAAAAACAAATGGCGATACTTTGTTGTGAAATGGTGTTACGCGCGTGCGCCATTTAAACAAAAATGTTCAAAATGGCCTGAAACGTATGCAAAATAAATTTTTGACGATTTGGAGCATTTTTTAATTTTGCGCGAGCACTGACGCGCGGACGTACGCGTACGCGCGCGTTTATTGACCTAAAATTGATCGGACGAATATTGTCCTTGATCGTGATAAATTCGAATGAAATTGACTTTTGGTTATGAAGATATGATCATGAGTTGATTTTCAGAAAAATTTACAAAATGGCGCCTAGATGACGTCATCAGTGAAAGTCAATGTTGAAAACCTTCCTATGCTTGTGTGCCAAATTTTAAGACATATGATTGAGCCATTTTCAAATTATCTTGCACACAAAAAAGTGCGTCGAAATAAGAAAAATAAATAAATAATAAAGGCAATTCTAACAAAATTATAAGGTGATCTGTACGATATAGAGCCCACCTGATAATAAATAAATAAATAAAGGCAATTCTAACGAAATTATTAGGTGGTCTGTACGATAGTACAGCCCACCTGATAATAGTAAATATATAAAGGCAATTCTAACGAAATTATAAGGTGGTCTGTACGATATACAGCCCACCTGATAAATGAAAAATAATAATAAAGAAAGAAAATTCTGACGAAATTAAGAGGTGATCTGTCTACGACAGACCACCTAAAAATTGATATAGCAAAAGTATAGTTTTAACATTAATGTACTACACAATGTACTTTACAATGTTTGGGTATGCAGCAACTAATCACTTCACCAACAAGAGTAACAAACAACTTCCTCTCGTATTGACCATGTGTACACTAATGTAACAATTTGTTCTATTCATGCTGGAGTTATAGAAACTGATATATCAGATCATTTCCCTGTCTTTGTTGCATTTGAGCATCTTAGGAAGGCATGTAGAACCAGCCACAAAGAGTCTGTGTTTCGTACCTGCATAAATTATGATATTAATAAATTTCATGATGATCTAGGTGAAATTGATTGGAACAATATAAGTGGTTGTACAAAATTAAATGAGTCATACTCTGTATTTTACGACTTGTTTACGCAAGTCTGTGACAAGCATGCACCAATAATGTCATCAACTTCGAAGAACCTTAAAAAGGAGGAAAATAGTGAGAGAAAACCGAGATGACTAATGCTATTTTAAAACCAGTCAAGAAGAAGCCCAAGTTGTATTCTAAACCAAAGGCATCAAAATTTCAACAGCAAGATGAGGAAGAATACAAGAGGTATAGAAATGTTCTAACTACAGTTCTACGAAATGCAAAGAGACAATATTATAGTAACCTCGTCGTAAAACGTTGAAAAAATCAACGAGTTGTTGAGTGGTGGAAATTTCAAAAATAAAGTGCCAAATGTAGAGAAATGAGCAAGTTCAGGTGGTGGAGGAAAATAGAGTTATAACATCTGACAATGAAATAGCTAACGAATTTAACAACTTTTTGTAAACATAGGTCTAAAGCTGGCAAAGCTGAAGCTGACTTTACAGAATATTTAGGATAAAGAACAGAAAACTCACTATTCACTCACAAAAACTCACAAAAACCAATAACAGAGAATGAATTGAAATGCCACTTACATACTTTAAATACAAAAAAGCATGTGGATATGATAATTTGCATGCAAGATTGTTGAGGGATGCTGCCCTATACATTTCAAGCTCATTAACATAATATATGTTCAACCTTTCCATAGATAAAGGTAAATTTCCAGACGCTCTGAAAGTAGCAAAAGTGACACCTATTTATAAAAAGGGGCAAAAAGATCTAGCTGGTAAATACAGACCCATTTCAGTTACCTATACTGGGTCAAATCTTTGAGAAGATAATAAATAATCGTGTAATTGACTATTTGGAAGCAAATAATATCTTGTTTCAACACCAGTATGGTTTCCGTAAGAAACATAGCACTAAATTATCTTTGATTAATCTTGCAAATACACTATTGAAATACATTGATGAAGTTAGAACAAAAGTTGGCATCTCTATTGACTTTCAAAATGCATTTGATACTATAAACCACAGCATTCTCCTCAAAAAGATTTCACACTATGGATTAGCCTTGCAATGGTTTGAAGATTATTTTGTGTAAACGACCACAGTTTATACAATATAAAGACAAAATGTCTTTGAAATTGAATATAACACGTGGTGTCCCTCAAGGCTCCGTTCTTGGAACAACCTTATTTTCACTACATATAAATGACTTACCTAACTCCACAAACTTTTTCAATTTCAGATTATTTGCTGATGACTCAAATGTCAATGGTTTGAAGATTATTTGTGTAAACGACCACAGTTTATACAATATAAAGACAAAATGTCTTTGAAATTGAATATAACACGTGGTGTCCCTCAAGGCTCCGTTCTTGGAACAACCTTATTTTCACTACATATAAATGACTTACCTAACTCCACAAACTTCTTCAATTTCAGATTATTTGCTGATGACTCAAATGTCTTTCATACTTTTAATCATAGGCAAAAAGAAATTGATTTAGAAATTGTAAGTGAAAATTTAATGAAGGTGCACGAATGGTGTGATGCAAATGAAGTCACAATTAACCTACAGAAAACAAACTATGATTATGAAATCCAAAGGTAGGTCAATAGACAAAAAAGCATCTGTGAGAATATCAAGATCAGATTTGAAAGAGGTATCCGTTGCATAATTTGTAGGAATTGAAATTGATTATCACCTTTCATGGAAAGAACATATTCAGACAATAAACAAATGCATAAGAAAGAAAGTAGTATTGTGTTTAAACTGAGACATTTTGTTCCCAAGAATATACTTGTGTTAATATTATATAAAACTTTTATACAGCCTCACCTCTCTTATGAAGTAGAAGTATGGGGGAGCACGTACAAAAGTAATCTAAATTGTATATATTTAAGTCAAAAAATGGCAATGAGAGCAATTACATTCGGTCCCCTTAGAACAGACTCCAAACCTCTTTTTCAAAGTCTAAACATTTTAAATATTTGTCAACTTCATAAACTTCTTGTATCAACATTTATATACGATTTGGTAAAAAGGTGTTTTACCACACTCTTTAGTGGATTATTGTCAGATGAAACAGCACAGATATGCAACTACGAGAAAAGAAAGTGACTTACTCTATCAACCAAAATGCAAGACAACGCAAGGGCAATTTTGTATTTCGTTTGTAGGAACAATGCTGTGGAATGATCTCCCAGATGAAATAAGATTAAAAACATCGAGGTTATCTTTTCGGAGACATATTTCCACCTACCTTCTTTGTAAATGACGTGGGCTCAATCCCATCCCCCTTGGTTTTTCCTCTTTATATATGTATACACTTGCTGCCTTAACCCTAAAAAGGCCGGGCTATTTGAGGTCTTAGTTAGGCCGGGGGGGGGCATTATGGCCCCCTTAAGATCTCGGCCGCAAAGCGGCCGATCGCCGCGAAAATTTGCACGCATGTCAAGTGAAGTGTATAGAATAATATGATAATTTCAATTTTTTGAAAAATTTACTCATTTGCATATTTATGGTAATTTATGCAAATAAAGTCATAAAAATGACATTTTTACCCATAAATCATATATTATTCATATTTAAGCATTCTTTTTCACTACATTTATTCATTAGACCATTCTGAATAATAATACGACAAAAAAAATTTGGAAGAGCCAGCTTATTCCTTATGTTATTCCCTGTTTTGATAATTTCTTATGTATTTCATTGTTTTTTTTAAACTTATGTATTTTATTTTTGTTGTTGTTTTATTTCATTTCTTACTACAATTCAACTATTTTGACTCCCAAAACAACCACCTAAATTTTAAACAAGACCCAATAACCCATGTTTGATCTGTTTTTAGGAAAAATGACTTTTCCATATGTTTTGTACACAAATCACGAAAATGAGCGATTTTCGGGCTGACATGCAAAGACAAAAGGTCACGTGACCTTGTAACCGTAGGTCCGATTTTCAAAAAAATTCTTTTAAAAGTTGCGCAAGACTCGAAAAAAAAAATTCAGCGAGCGGCGGGGCGCCATTCATATGCGTTCCTGAGCAATCAGGAAAATCGTAGAGGGGGGGGGGGGGGCATAATGGCCATAATGCCCCCCCCCCCCCCCATCCCCGGCCTTATTAGGGTTAAGCTTTCACAGGATTCACAGGTTACGCACATCTGTATGATATTATTGTTTATTGATACATCCTTTTCATTTTTTTAACACATTGATGATTTTATTTGTTCAAAGATTTGTCTTCTTCCATTATAATGCTTTAAAGGTAAAGACCAGTATTGGAAACGCCCCGATTTCAAAAAAATGAAATGGAAGCTCTTATTACCAATCATGTCAAAGAATATGTTTTGACTAATACATGATGATAACATTTTTGCCGAGAAACCGCCTACTAATTGATATCTTTGGTAAATTAGTTTATCTATTGGACTGTGAGAGATAAACGCACGTGTCGCGCACGTGTGCGTATAGTCCCATATACATATTTTTGTGTACAGTGCTTGTAACTTTACGAAGACTGGGCCATATTTCTTATCATTTTGAAGATTCCAGAACCTTGCAGTACACACCAATACTTATATGCTAGATGATCAACCTTTTCTGATCGATTCCATAACGTTTCTTTCACAATGCAATCGCATGACCATAACTGGTCTTTACCTTTAACACTTACATTGTTTTCTTTTTCTTTTTTCATTTTAGTATGTAAAAAAGTTACATGATACTGTATTATTTTGTTGTATGAAATTATGTAAATACAAAACAAACAAGTTTTACATTCATATGTATAAACAAATTAACAGAAACAAATCTTGCCGAAGAATGGAACTAGACTCGACTAGCACTTGCGCTAACTTCTAGTTCCCATTAACAACTTCACCTAAATATAGTAATACACATATTGATGTATATATCTTTTGTACATTTAATAGTATGCAGATGTATGTCTAAACATCGTTTTAAAACCATTACCCTTACGACATTACCCTTATGTTATGTATACATGTATCAGTATTATTTTTTGCAGTGTTTGATTGTTCATATGTACTGTCATTATTGTGATGTGTTGTTAATAAATTCAAATTATAAATTCAAAACCTAATAAGAAAGAAAATTCTGACGAAAACTATGTTTGATATGTCGCAGACGACCGACAGACCACCTAATAAAGAATAAAGAATAATAAAGAAAGAAAATTCTGACAAAATTATTAGGTGATCTGTCGTTGACAGACCACCTAATAAAGAATAAAGATTGAAGAATGAAGAACGAAAATTCTGATGAATTCAAAAGGTGGTCTGTCGGATAGACCACCTAATAAGTCATGTTCTAATCACGCAACCACTCACTCGCTCTCCCCCCCCCCCCCCCCCCTCCCGCCTCACCGACACCCGGGCCAAGTAATCTAGATTCTCTGCTCGATCGAGCGCTCTGATCGCCCAATCTGAAGCACGTAAACAGTTCAATATTCATGACATGTGTATCATTCTGCTGCCAGATTCCAGGTGTGTACTACACAAACATGTGGCATAAAATGTGGGCCTCATTTTTAACCGTTACCTATGTCATATTTAGTATATGAATGCATTGAAGAGCCATGCTTTTCAGGGAACATTTTGTTTCTGATTTTCTTCCACACTTACATAAAAACAATTAAAATACTCACAAATTATTGTTCACACCTCCCCAGAACTCGACCTTCTCTTTAATTTAATTGACTATTTACAGCTATACAACTCACCTCATTGCATCTAAACATTGCTGATTGTGGCTTCCCATGGAGTCATAGAATACTGTGCTCTTATTCCTGAAGTCTACAACCTATGAATATTGAAAAGAGAACAAGAAAAATACCAATTAGGGGAAATTAAGCAACCACACTGGAACGAGACCTAATACGTAGCAGTGTAGCTGCATACATTACATATTATTGAAATGTGTACCATTTACATAAGATGAAGGTATAACATAAACCCTAAAAGTAGATTAGGCTTTGTCTTATTACAATCATGTGATGGATGATGCAATTTATCTGTGTTGTGGATCAGATGTATAAACTGAATCACACTACAATTAGTCTAGACTAGTACTCTAAATGTGAAAAATAACTATCAATTATTTGGCTAAAACCTTGAGTGAAATATCGTAGTTAAAACTGAATAAAAGGTTCAACCATTAAAGAATGAGTCATTGGCTGTATATTTCTCAAGAAAACAACGCTAATAAAGAGAAGTGATATCTCTTAGCCTTTAAAAAAAAGTTGTTGTATTGGACTATTGCCCTATGCCACCGACCCCCCCCCCCCAAAAAAAAAATATATATATATATATATATATATATATAATAATGAATCAATAAATATGTATTGCAGCATTCAAAAGGAGAGAGAGAGAGAGAAAAGCAACAACAACAAGAAATAATGAACAAAATCGACCGACCGACCGACCCAGGTGCTGGCACCTAAACTAAATTAAAGGGCAATACAACATCTTTTTTGTTAGGCCTTATGAGTTATGTACATAGTTCTGATTGATATCAATCGCATATAATAACTGTTTAGAAGATGGGCCCCTGATGTTAAAACCATGTAAAAACATCTATCAAACAAAGCATCCTTGCATGCTATCCTATATAAAGATCAACTTACGGCTAGGCACCAATGCATTCCTAGATGGACCGGGACCAGAAGCAGGTCTTTCGTGAAGATGTCCACCTTCTTGGTCCATCGACGGAGGCTGGCGAAACCAGATTTGATCAACTTGGGATAGAAGAATGTGTTGAAAGAGTATACACTCGGGTATTCCTGGATATTCAAATTGATATTCAAGAAAACAAACGAATAAATGAATCATTCAACTGGTTTCAATATGGAAATTGGTACAGTGGAATCAACTGGATTCCAGTTGAGAATTGCAACTGGTATCATTTGATACCAGTTGATTTCAGTTGGGTACCAGTAGATGATTACCAGTTTCAAATTCAAATTCGATTTCACATTTTATTGTCCAATTATTGGAAATGTGTTTCGTTTGCATGTCAATACAGAATTACAGATTATAAACAAAAATAAGATACAAATGGATACGGAATAATACAATTGATCTTAACATAGATAACACAAAATGCGTTACAACTGTCGTACAAAATGTAGACCAAATCCAATTCATAATTCGGACTAAGTAATTAAATTAAATTCATAATTCAGATTAAATTCGATTCATAATTCAGACCAAATCCAATTCATAATACAGATCAAATTCAGTTCATAATTCAGATTAAGCTCAATTCGTTATTCAGATCAAATAAGATAGGCCTGTACAAACGATAATAGTAATACTTGGAACAAGAGGGTATCCTATTTATCATTTCATCAGCTTGGGAGCATTTAATTAATTCACACTATCTAAACCAAACCCTTCTCATTAAACAGCCTGATTGAGCTAGGAGCGAATGTGTTAAGAAACCTATACTTGTTTTGCACCTCAGAGATCTCAGCCTAATTCCTGACCTTAGAACCACATAATTAATATTTAAGGGGCGACGACTGTTATGATATATCAATTTCACCTTTTCAAGCACTCCGTTTCTACATATATATTCGAAGTCAAGTTCCTGCCCGTCAGGCGCGTAGCCAGGGGGGGGGGGGGGGTGGGGGGCGGTCACCCCCCCCCCCCCCCAAAAAAAAAGGCGGCCAAAGAGTCGAGAACGGTACAACGAATCGTCTTCTTTCTCTAATAATTTATGAATCGTCAGAGCTTCTGCGCGACGCGCGGAGGAAGGGAAACTTGATTTAAACACAAGGTTTAAGAGTCGAGGACGGTACAACGAATTGTCTCCTTTCTCTAATGAAACGTCAAAAGAAACTGAGTTTAGATAAGGATTAAGAGTTGAGAATGGTCCAACGAATCGTCTTCTTTTTCTAATAATTTAATGAAACGTCAAAGCTAATAATTTAATGAAACGTCAATGCTAATAATTTAATGAAACGTCAAAGCTTCCGCGCTTCGCACGGGAGGGGGGAACTACCCCCTCCCTGCATCCACCCCCTAGGGAGCGCGCTACGCGTGCTCACTACCACCTCCACCCCCCCCCCCCCTAAAATGAAATCCTGGCTACGCGCTTGCTGCCCGTCAATTTTTCCGCTTGTCTAACGATTCTTTTGAACATAGAGAGGTCTATTTTACGACATGCCGTGAACCATACAACGCAGTCGTGTACTTATATACTTTCTATGACAGACTTGTAAAAGAGATACATTATTGAGCGATCTACGTGAAAGGAATTGAGTTTATGAAGGAAATATAACCGTTGCTGCCCTTTCTTGTACAGCTCCCTACAATTATCATCCCATTTCAACTTGTCGTTAATAATAGTGCCAAGGTATCTGTATGATTTCACTATCTCTATTTCCGCTCCGTTTTTTTTCATTGGGGAGCTACTTAGATCTACGGTTCTTACTTTTCTAAAGTCAATTATCATTTCTTTTGTTTTCATAGAGTTTTCAGAGAGTCCAGAAAATTGTAATTGCACCACTAAGTAAAACAGTTTAGATACCCAGAAGGAAAACCCAGTTGCCGCACTGGTCCAGTTAAACCACTTAAAGCCAACTGGTAACACTGGAAAGTGAAATGGGTCAGTTGACCCAGACCAGTTGAATTTTAACTGGACCAGTTAGGATTTGACCGGTTGAATTCCAACTAGACCAGTTAGAATTCAACTGGTCAAATTCTAACTGGTCCAGTTGGAATTCAAGTTGTCTGGGTGAACTGGCCTATTTCAATTTCCAGGGTTACCAGTTAGATTGAACTGGTCTAACTGGGCTAGTTAAATCATTTGGCAAAACTGCCAACAAGTTGAAAGACTTAATTAGTAATATAAGGTGTAATTAGCACTTGCACTAATTAATTTTTTCCAATGGCAACAACCCAGTAACACCAGTTCGTCTGCAATTTCCAATGTAATGGCATTGGTAATAAGTAATTTTATTGAATGTATTTTAGTTCATATAATGTTTTCTCTAGTAGTGACATGTCCTAATAATTGACAATTTATATTTTGTAGTATTTTCAAAATGAATTGCATATAACTAGATGATCAGTAATTAACAAATATGCTGTAAATTCAGATAAATTTTTATAAAAACATAGACGTGCACGCACCCCATATTCATTATGCAAATTAACCGGTGTCAACTAGTTCAACTGTAAATATGCCCATGGACCAGTTTTCAACTGGTGCAACTGGAAATATGCCACGCACATACCATTTATCAATTGGTGCAACTGGAAATATGCCCACAGACCAGTTATCAACTAGTGAAACTGAAAATATGCCACGCACAGACCAGTTATCAACTGGTGCAACTGGAAATATGCCCACAGACCATTTTATCAACTGGTTCAACTGGAAATATGCCAACAGTCAGTTCTCAACTGGACAGGTGCAACTGGAAATATGCAAACAGACCAGTTATCACTGGTTCCAGTTAAATGAAATGCAGTCGCACCAAATATCTGCTTGACTGTGCATCATGGACCAGTTAGAATCAACTGAAACCAGTTGAATTTAACTGGTTCCAGTTAAAGTTAACTGGAACCAGTTGGAAATTCCAACTGGTGGTAACTGTTTTTTTCTTCTGGGTAATCTTCGTATTCAGTCTCACTTCCTCTGATATTCGCAACAATAACAGTGTCGTCCGCGTATTTTAGGACTGAGACATTTGATTTACCAGTTGAAAACAATAGATGATTACCAGTTGATTTACCAGTTGAAAACAAGTAGATGATTACCAGTTGTTACCAGTTAAAACCAAAAGATGATTACCAGTTGTTACCAGTTGAAAACCAATAGATGATTACCAGTTGATTTACCAGTTGAAACCAAAAGATGATTACCAGTTGTTACCAGTTGAAAACCAATAGATAATTACCAGTTGATTTACCAGTTCTATTTTGTTTTTTGTTTCCCACAATTCACATTCTCTTTCTATATTACCATAATTCCTTGTAATTTCCATCCTATTTATTGTATTCCTCACTTTATTTTCATATGTCAGTCTTTTAAAAATAATCTCTCTACATTTTATTCTATCCCTTTATTTCCCTTTTATTTTTTCCATCAATTCTTGATTTTCTCCACTCTTTTCTTTCTATCTTTATACCCTAGTAGTTTTGTGTGTTGCGAAAATATATTTTTTCCCTATTTTTTTCCTATTTTTTCCCTATTTTCTGGAAATGCAGACTATTTTTTCCCTATTTCCTTCAAGAAAATAGGAAAAAAATAGGGCTATTTTTTTCCTATTTTCAAGCACAAACTATTTTTTCCCTATTTTTTTCACCTATATTTTTTTTCAGACTATTTTTTTCCTATTTCCTATAAAAAAACAGAAAAAAAAATAGTCCTATTTTTTTCCTATTTTCAAGTACAAACTATTTTTTCCCTATTTTTTTCACCTATATTTTTTTTCAGACTATTTTTTTCCTATTTCCTATAAGAAAACAGGAAAAAAATAGTCCTATTTTTTTCCTATTTTTAAGCACAAACTATTTTTCCCCCATTTTTTTTACCTTCAACTTTTGTGGACTATTTTATTCCTATTTTTTTAAAAGAAAATAGAAAAAAAATAGTTCTATTTTTTCCTATTCTCGAGTACCAAACTATTTTTTCCCTATTTTTTCACCTTCATCTTTTTCAGACTATTTTTTGCCTATTTTCTCAAAAAAAATAGGACTATTTTTTCCCTATTTTTTCATCTTAATCTTTTTCAGACTATTTTTTCCCTATTTTTTCACCTTAATCTTTTTCAGACAATTTTTTCCCTATTTTTTCACCTTAATCTTTTTCAGACTTCTTTTTACCTATTTGCGAGTACTATTTTCTTCCTATTTTTTGCACTTAAATTTTTTATGACATGATACAAATTTGTAAACTATTTTTTGTCTAATTTCTAAACTTGCATATTTTCATTGTTTATGACTGGCATCCTATTCAAAAAGCCCGCTTCTCCTGCCATTATCTCTGTTGTTCATTTTGCGACTTATTGGTTGTTTTTAGCTGTGGGGGCACATATTGAATAGTGAGATCAAAGATGACCATAAATAAACAATGTGTAAAAAGAAAATGTACGAAATTTCAATTTTGTTCCTTTATTAATATTCTTGATTTTATTTACAAACTATAGTAGTGACTAGTGCACTCAAAGATAACCATACATAAACCATGTGTAAAAAGAAAATGTACACATAGAAATTTCAACCAAAAAAAATCTCCTTTATTAATAGAAAAAAAAGCATTCGATCGAGATATTCCCGTTCTATGTGTGCACAAAGTTTCAACGTAGAGGACAGTACGCAAGTACGTAATTTGAAAATTACCCGTTATTTTTTTTCCCCACTGGCACTGCTGTGCGCATCGGACTTTTGCTGATTTTCGTTCATCAAACGTCTCCAAATCACACCAAAATGTCTTCCAGCAATTATTCTAGCGATGAAATTTCATCAAGAGATAGTGACTCCTCATACTCCGATGCCTCCTTATCCCATTTTAGTGATTCTTCCCAAGAAAATGAGCCCGACAAATGTTCAAAATATTACTAGTCCCACTCGTAGAGAAACGAGTTTGTTGTCGAATTACGGACCATCGACGAGCGGAACTGGCCCCAGAAAACAGCTGAAAAGGTACGTTTATTTCTGAAACTTAATTATATTATGATATATATATTTTTATTGTGTCTGTTGTTGAATATAATGCTACTTCATAGACATAATAGGCCTATAGAATGTTATTTTACGTATCAATATTCCC